TTTAGGTTTTTAAAATTATTWAAGTCGCTTTCAAAATAGTCCTTATTCGATATTATGCACTCATGCCAGTGCTTCATCTAAACGCTGTATCGCTGCTCAAACATGATTTTTTGGGATAGCCTTTGACCACCATTGCATTTATGCTATATTCCCTGATGCTAATGCACTAACGTTCTAAAATCGCAACAATTTTTCTTTCCCGAACCTTAAGACCAGACTATTTGAATGTTTTGAAGCATACATGCTTCGTTAGCCTGAAAGGTTTGATAACAAACTCGACTCTTTTATAATGTGTCAAGCTTTTCGTCAAAAGAGGGCATGAGTTATGCATAATCTGTTCATAGCAAAATATTTGTTAAGATGCACATATCTGTACCTATCTCTTTAGTGCTAGAACTGCCAAGTGTAACGTCTTAATCTCATTTAYTACAAAATGCAAAATCTTTGTGGCCTTTTTAGGCTAATGATATCTTCACTGTATCACTCGCCATTGTTAGATTTTGTTTTCAACAATAGATTAGCTCGTTCTCTAAAAGCTTTCCAAGTCAATCTTAACTACATAATAATAATATTAAACTCATTTAACGGTATCCAGGTAAACATATCTATATTTRTGTGTTTACGGTACTTTCTCACTGATGAAATGAACTTTTTAAATTCACATGCCGATAGAAAGGCAATACTTATGCAAATTCATATGCGTTACTATATTTGGCAGTGCAAAAGTGTATACATACCAGCTTTACAAGGCCATCATCAATCCAAATAACCGAAAAGCATTCAAATATGTCGTGTTMCAGGCATATTTATCAGACACTAGAATAATGCTTGAGTGCTATAAAATAATTTTTAGAACAACACGCATTGAGCGTGTTACTTTTACTTTTGAGCAATAGAATAAAAATACTTACTGTTATTTTAACAGTTATGTAGTATGGATTAAAATAGTTATGTGCCGCTTACTACAGAAAATATAGATTTTCGATGCAAAAATTGGATAGTAAAAATATGAAAAAGGAAAGACACTGAGTAATAGCCAATCATAGTGTGGAAAATTAATGAATTTAATAAAAACTGAATATGCTTAAAAAGCCCAAAATCAAAAGAATTTTGAGAATAGA